GGTTTTTATGACGATTTTTTTAGAGTGTTTTGTTTTATCCATAAAATCGTAATCAATTTGCCCACTATGTTTCAGCAAAGTCCAACATCTTTTAGGTATTCTAATTGACTAACCATAGACTTTTAAACTCAATAAATTCTTAACATTTTTATATCTCCTATCCAACCTTTCAATTACATGACAACGAACTTATTTTATTTTTAAGCATCTGCACAGCAACAAATAGAAATATTACTAGAAAAAGGCTTCTGAAAAACATCATTGTTAAAGGTTGTGGGTAAGGGGCGAACTTGTGCTGTAATATACCTTGAACCAAACAATCATTAATACAAACAAAAGACTAAACTTTGCTGATGCAACATGAGAAACGTAAACGTATATTTATAGCTAATCTAAAACCAACTCTACGTTAACCAAGCAATGAAACGCTTGAAGTTTTTGTATTAGTAAAATAAATATAAAATCCGAGCTCTGTAAAAACTTACATAACAAAATAAAATCTTTAGAAGAATTTTTGTTTTAAAAGAACAAGAAAAAAAAATATATGCTGCAGAAGATTGGTGAAAACCTACATCACAAAACAAATCATTAAATAAAATACAAAAAAATAAGAAATATTTTTTTTAAAAAAATGTTTATATCATTAGCAAAAGGCTAAAGCAAAAATAAATGATGAGGCACGAGCAAATATTTGTATTCAGAGCATTATGTGTCGATTTTAAAATATAACTACACCTTAAATACATTAAGCAATTTAGAAAATGTGATTACCTCATAATTGTTCATCGATGTGCTAGAATTATCCAATATAGAGCATTCCCCGTCTAGCAATATCTGTCCAATTTCACTACAGGTAGTGGTGACATTACCTTGAAAGAAATATTAGAAATTGAAAATCTATTTAAAGCATTAAAGTAGTTAAAATTAATGTTGTAAAATTGTGTTGTTGTATGATTCTTTCCGAATTCTGATCAACGAAAAGTCAATGCTACTCAACTAAAATATTCGTAACTAAGGATCAACATGGTGCAGTTTTTGTTTTTTTGTTGTTGTTTTTTTAACGGGGTACGTGTATTCAGAGAAAATCCTTGATAGTTCAAATGTAACACAGATGTGATAACTTTTCTTTGACATTCAACCAAATCTAAATCCAAAATGTTGTATTCTGACAGAATTGCCCCCGTCAACTGTTTCTTTTTAAAAGAATAACAAAAAAAAACAAACAAACAAAAAAAAAAAAAAAAAAAAAAAAAAAAAAAAAAAAAAAAAAAACAAAAAAAAAAAAAAAAAAAAAAAAAAAAAAAAAAAAAAAAAATTTCTTTTTAAAAGAAAAACAAAAAAAAACAAACAAAAAAAAAAAAAAAAAAAAAAAAAAAAAACACTTATAGAAATAGGCAGCAGCCGGAGCCTGACATGGAGATGAACTTATGCAAAACAAATCAGAAGAGAAGATTACTGTCTTTCAGTTTTTAACAAAAACTTACGAATTAACATATGGATTATAAAGAAAATATCAATTATTTCATGTACTAAGCTACGGAAAAGACTGACAGGCGCACACGTGCGCCAAGTGAAAAGACAGTCAACGACAGGTGGTGGTCACGCCCCCAGGAAAAAAGATGTCAAAAAACAGCGACACTTTAGAAAAAAAAAAAAAAACATTCTGAAAACGAAAATTGTAACCTACCTACCGGGAGTTCAGACTTTACGCATGACGCTCGCTGTGTGACGGTATAACATAAACAATATCAATACCAACTAAAAGCCGCTTTCTCATTTAGAAAAAGAAACGGCTTTTCCCCCCTCAGTATTATTAATATAAAACATTTAGGCTGTGGGTGTGGGGTTGTTTTGAAGAGGAAGGGGATTCATCAGAAGCAAAACATTTGAGATTCAAAATTATCAAAATGCTATTTAAATATCATGAAAAAAGTAGAACAATTTATGTGGAATCTTGAATCAAGACCTAGGACAATAAGCCCAGAACGTTTTGGCTAACAGCCTTCCTTAGCAGACAGGGCCGATATAAATAGTACAAGAAATAGAAAGTAGTTAACATACTTGAGTGTTCGTTATTGTTATGGTTAGAAGTTGACTTTTTCCAAAACGAAGATGACTTGATTTAAAATAATGTATGTAACATTATTGTGAAAAACGTGATCTTAGCTGACAAAAAATATTTTGGGGGATTTGTAAACTATAAAGAAATAAGAAAAGACATACAGTGAAATTAAGCATCACTAGTAGTTAATTTTTGATTATATCCATATTGTGTCTGTACCAGTATAACTGTTGGCTTGCTAATTTAATGTTAAATAGAACTCATTGAGACACAACATTATATATCTTGAACAGACGAGATTTTATGGTGCAATGTTGGAAAGGCAGTGTTCTGATTCTGTGACAAAACAAATTGTGTAGTAAATTTGACGAAGGTACTAAATATATATTTAATCAAGACAGAAGTCAATAAGTACATATAGTTAGTGCGGGGATTTGGGGGGGGGGGATTTCCAAGGGGACGAGGCTAGGACGACTGTGAAGGTAACAGTACTTATAAATCAATGCAAGGTAATATAGAGGTCGGTGAGAAATGTACACATTGGTCTTGGGGAAGCGTAAAGCTAATCATAGTACCAGGGTGTCGAAATTATTCGAAGCTGAGATGTAGAGTGTAGAATTAGATAGTTCTGGTAAATGAACCTCCTGAAAAGCCACAACTAATTCGGGTAAAAATAAAGTGGAATGTTCTAGGAATGGGGGTGGGGGTATAACTCAGCCGGACAGGAGTAGAGAACAGTCTACTGGTAAAGAATGAAAAGAGATATTCATTTGTTCATCACCACATGTTCTATCTGCCAGCACATCAAACGTCTTCACGCCAACCGCTCAGCCAGATAAGAGCCTTTTCTTTTAGGATCTCCATTTCAAAAGATGTGCAATGATTGCATTGGTCTTATAAACGTCATTGATCCTGGAAATATATTTTTGTTTAGTAGTGGACGCATTCACTAAATATAACCTGGCATACTCTCTTCCAGACTGTTCAGCATAAGTAACGGACGTTAGATAGTCCTGGTATGGAACCTCAAGAGATGTCACGAATAATGTGGAGACTAATAAAAAGGAACTGTTTTAGGAAGAATGGGGGGGGGGAGGGGACTCAACCAGACAGGAGTAGAGGACAGTCGCGAGACCACAGTAGAGACAGGTGACCCTTGCCAGTCAGAGATAAGTACGAGACGAATTAAAAGGAATCAATGTAGCATATAAATTGAAGATCAAGGGCTGTAACCATCGTCGAGATTTATTTTCTTTGATTGTTGCAACTGGAGTAACAGTTGAAAAACGTGTTAACATCCAAACGAACGAAATAGAGAACGAATGTGGAACTTAAAGAGCCAAGCTGTTCTACAAGATTTATCCTGTTATTTGGAAATTTTTTTTTTTCACTTTTTGTGAATAAATTCTTGTAAAAATGAAGTGTCAATGCCAAGTTATATCTACTGACTTAAAAATTCATTTTATTCACGTCAATGATGTGGCGGCGACAGTTATTATAGACTTGGCTAACTATTATCTCTATATTATCAATATTATCAATAACGGAGTAAATGGTTCCAGCTGAATTGTGCAAAACACCTGAATTAAAGTTTTTTTCCATCTACCTCTTGATGGTGTGTTGGTGTGTTGGTGTGTTGCAGGAAGTTAGTGTCATGAAAGATGCACCGCATGTCTCTTTATGTTTATTTCCGTTGAAATGGAGGAATGAGACCTGAAAAAACTACATCCTGATCAATGTTACACAGACTTTGGGTTGAAACATCTGATAATATTATACCAGTTTCGTCTAGGTAACAGGGGTGACTAAGATCACTTTTCGATTAAAACATGTGAATAATTTTGTTGTGTTAAAAGAACATTTAGGGAGACTATTATTTTTTTCCGAGTATATCAGAATACTTATTCCCCAGACTCTTTCATTAAGTGATGTCAGCACGACAACGACATAGTATAAAGCACTTAAACAAATTATCGATACTTTTTTTTTTGTTGTCTGAGAAATTACTCCGAAACATTTCATCGGCTTTCTGCAATTGTCGACACATTAAACACCGATCTATTGACCGTATAAGCAGTCCAAAACTTTAATCGGAAATATAATGTTAACTTTCTGAATTCTAAACATGCTTTTATTTTTTAATTCCAGCTATTCTGATGGCTAACAAGTACGGAAACAACAACGAATATTTTCTTTTAGACGAGATACTCAAGCATCTTTTATTATTATTATATATTAGAAAATTTTGTAAAATATTATTTTGTTAATCCTGTAAATGTTAAAAAATCATTTTTTAATGATTTTATTTTTACCGATTCAATTCATGTACTTAGAAGTCACCTGACTACATAGTGTTTGGTATCATTGGAAAGATTTTTTGTGTAGAATTAAAATAAATATAATTGTTTTCTTACTAAATAATGTTACCAAAGACTTCAGTCAGTGTTGTACCATGGTCAAAATGGTGTTTTTCTGTCCGCATGATATGGATACCTTATGCATCAACCTTGAACTTTTAATAAAGAACGCATTTGATGGTTACATGTGTGGAAAATGTATACGTGATCGGTTATCCTACCATTAAACTCGGTTAGACCGAGCTTGTGTGCAGTTTAAATTTGCAAATTTCAATTTCGTGTCACCCCTGAGATTTATGATCAGGTTCGGTCGGCACACCGTTAGCAACGCCACTGTATTTACTGATGTATTTTGTATGGAACTCAAAAATTTTCTTGAATGATTGCTAATACATTTTCATAAAACTCTTTGAATTTAACATATATTTTTTTAAAGTATAAAAACAATTGATATTAATTTTCAAATGAATTTCCTAACGTTTAATTATTTGGATACAATAATAATACATGATTAAACTTACCGATCTGAATATCGTCGCAGACGTAGGAATCAATAAGAAATGTACAGAAATCCAATTCAAGATTGACCTCTATTTTATTATCTTTAATCGAAAGACATCTAAGTTTATACATATCAGAGCTATTGAAAGCATTAGAGTTGATCGAGCTCTTAACGGTTTCATTGTTGGAAATCCACGTGTGTTTTCCCTTCTCTGTACTTTCAATGGCTCCAACCCACGCTGTGAAAACAAAAAAAAACGTAATTGATATTTAGAAACATATATTTTAATATTATAGTAACAATAATTGTTGTTTACTCTACCCTTAAAAAAAACAAAAAAAACAACATTTTAATAGAAGAATTTTAAAACAAAATCTTTTATTATCATCTTTTCAATTGTTTAGACATAAGGTTGCAGTTTTTGGTTTATTTCGATCAGGGAGAAAACGTTTGAGTTGATCTCTGTTAAAATATAAATTTAAAGGCTTTTTGCGTGGGTTTTTTTGGCGTTTGTGGAAGTATAACAATAATCCATTGTAGCTATAACTTTGGTCATTGATGTGATTTATACCAGTGCTGTCGCTCTCACGGCCTGCCGACGGAAAGTGGGACCAGAATGTCTATGAAAGAAGCCCAACAAACTATATGGATATTGTTTATTTCAACGACTGTCCAATCCCATGGCTTGCGGAAGGAAAGTGTCCAAGAATGACCATGAAAGCATCCAAACAAGCTCTATTGACGTGGTTTATCCAGGGGCGTCTATCCCACGGCCGGCAAACGGAAACAGGCCCAATATGGATATGAAAGACGCCAAACAGTTTATAGTGTTGTTTACATTAGGGGTGTCCATTCACGGCCGGCGGACAAAAAGTGGCCCAGAATGGCTATGAAAGAAGCAAGACAATTTGTATCGATTTTTTTTTTATACCGGGAATGTCCATCCCACAGCCCTCTGGTTGCAAGAGTTAGGATGGCAAAAAAAAAAAAAAAAAAAATGGCAAAAAAAAAAAAAAAAGAAATGTTAAATAAAATAACATTTAAATTTAGAGTCCAAATGTCTTAAAAGGCCATAAAATGGATTTCCACGTTTTACTACACTTTATTACGAGCTACAAAACGCTTGCTTTAAGCAGATTCTTTAAGAAAACCGGGGCCTAATAAGGTAAACTGCTTATTTTGAAGGAGATTTGTGCATGATTTCTAAGTCAATACACTCAAAATCATAGGGCGTAATTTAGTACTTAGGTCTATCATCTGCCCTAATATAAAGTAGCTGAACTGGAGAACATATTTTTATATGTATTACTAGAATATGTGACCCGTTGTTACTGGGATAAAAATGAAAGGCATTTAGCAATACTTAATAACTGCTATTTCGAGGTAATACCATCTATCAGTTAAATGTTTACGTATATAACAAAATTTAAAAAAAAAAAAGAGGTATTTATGGAAGGATGTTTAAGTTTCTAGCTTCAAATGTTTTTGAGAAATATTTATCTTCAAATAATGTCTGAACTCTCAGGACAATAAATTTACAACATCAAACAAAATTATGAAAAAAAAATGATTTACAACACATGTATATATTATTTCATCTGTGTCAATACGGAAGTTAATTATTGATTTCTTCAATGCAAGATTCACCCATACTTCTCTATTACGTTATGGAAACATCGGAAAGGCAAAGAATCGAAGAGTATCTCAAATAGTTTTCATGTCGGAATAAACTTGAGCCAATTTTTAAAAAAAAAATCTAAATATTTTAATTTCAGACCCATTTTGCCATGAAATGCACTTTGCAATTTACTTTTATCTAATATTTAAAGTCTACATTTGAAAACTAAATTTCGAGAATAGAAGAGTCGAACCAATTTTTTTCTCTCTAATTCACTGAATGTTCCCTTTTCTGCTCAACTCAAAATTCAATTCGTATCTCCAGTTAGCGGTGGCAAATATTTTTCCTCACATCAAATACTTGGTCCTATGTCAAATCTTTCGTTGTCTAGAAGTCTTATGATTCTTGCAGCGGTTTTGATGACATGTACTCGTTGGTCATAGGGACTAGATATAGTCAACAAACACTAAAGCTTCATGGTACATTAAGTGTTTATTCTGACAGCACTAAAACATCAATCTGGTTCAAAGTAAAGTTGAGACATGAATTCATATGTAGAACACTATTCAACTCAGACAAGACATCTCACAGCGAATCTATACAAAAGACGTGTCCTGCTTGCTGTTCCTCGCTTTATCTCACAAACCGCTTCTCAAAATTCCTAGTTCACTCTCTCAACCAAGCTCGTTGTCACCCCGTTTATCCCCTCATTCTTGCACCCGTCCATGACTTGAAAACAGTTTACACTCGTTCACAGAACCCAATTTTCACAACTCCTAATACACACTGAATCGCTCATTCCATGATCTTGACAAGCGGAAAGTTCTTAGTCATCGCTTCCTAATTCAAATTGGCCTCCTAAAGCAAATTGCTGTGACTGAAAACGGGCAAAGGTCTACCGCTGACCGATAGGATAAAAAAATCTACCGCATTAACAATTTCAAAATTGAGTCGCTGTCATGTGAAACGGCAGCTTACATATGAAGCGGCTGTCCTGTCAGCAGCGCATTTTGCCACTTCTTTGTGTGCACTAACATTTGATTTAGGCAGTATGACCTAAAAACATCTCCAATTGCGCTCACATGGAATGCTTCATCATACTCTGAATGATCGTTAACGGTGCTCTAAGCACATTGTGGCCTGGACATCTGAACGTGTTGGTGAACGTTGATCCGTTACATGAAAACGCTAGTTAAAGTTAGGATCAGTAATTTTTGGACGCTAAATATTCTATAAATTAATTTTACTATAAAATGGAGAGGATCATTTTAATAAAATAACGTTTATATAATCCGATTTTAAACAATGCGCCAAGCATTTGTATTGTGTAGCAACACATCGGAAGTGAAGGTACCACAAATGACTCCTATCATCTTATCAGCTGTTATTTCAAAAATTATTATTATAGCTGTAACTTGTCAATTTTTATATATGAATCTACATCCAGCTCACCTGGTATTGAATGACCATTTTCAAGTTTGAAACGTATTTTTTCCAAAAGTTCTTTTGAATTGAGCGTTGCTAGCACAGATCCTTGCTGTTCACAGAATTCCTACAGACAGACAAAAATTGGATTTAGAAAATGTCTTAAAAACATAACCAGATATTTCAATATGGATAATGAATTGTACTGTTACCACCAAGGCCCATATCCATCAGTTAACATAAAACATATCGTCTTGTCTAAGCTTGTTTATATTTATAAAGATCACACCACTTACAATATATATATATATATATATATATATATATTATATATATATTGTAAGTGGTGTGATGTGGTATTATGTGTTTATCTTGTTTTAACTTTATGAAAATATATATATATATATATTGTAAGTGGTGTGATGTGGTATTATGTGTTTATCTTGTTTTAACTTTATGAAATTGTCGGATTTATTTTAATTCTTGCTACAATTAAAACTCATACCAATCATCTATAAGATCTAAAGCACCCCTAATGTTTTCCGCCAGATCATGTTATTTGAATATATGTTTTTTCAAGGAATGAAGCCTTGTAATTTATTTTCGTGTGTTTCCTTACATTTGCCTCACACCAGGTAACGTGCTTTTGCCTCGTAACATGTAAAGAACCTTTGCCTTAACTAGAGCCTTTCTTGGAATTTTGGGGGCCCTAGGCATCGAGCGTGGGTAGGGAGGGGCACCGGAAGGGGGGATTTCGTTAACGGAGCTACCCTAGAGCTGATGAGAAAACATAATTCATCACTGTTTGCTCTTTGCTCTTGTGTAGCCACTTACCATATTGATAATTACGCCACCAGAGGAAATATTTAAATCTGAAATATATTGACTTGCAAGCAGTAGGATAAACAAAATTACCCTATGCGGTCCCTTAGGTTGCAAATACCTAAGAACGGTTCTCCTCATACCATGTAACATACTTTTCCTCATAACATGCAACTTACCTTTGCCTCATACCATGCAACTTACCTTTGCCTCATACCATGCAACTTACCTTTGCCTCATACCATGCAACTTACCTTTGCCTCATACCATGCAACTTACCTTTGTCTCATACCATGCAACTTACCTTTGCCTCATACCATGTAACTTACCTTTGCCTCATACCATGTAACTTACCTTTGCCTCATACCACGTAACTTACCTTTGCCTCATACCATGTAACATACTGACGGTGTAAGGTAAAGCACTTTCCATCTGTTGAAATGGTGTCTTCACCCTCACATATTAATGTGTTGTTTCCTGGAAAAAAACACACAACTAAAAATATTAAATATGCAGAGACAATCAGTCAATGACACGTTTTAGTTTACTGACGAGACTAGCATAATTTAAGCATTTTCAAGACTCACGTATATTTACTATACCTATTCATAACGTAAGGTTGAATCAAGAGGTTGAGTTTAGTAATGCAAATGTTCATCTTACCTTGTTCTATTGCTTGATCTTGTTTGGCATTGTTTAAAGTGATCATTAAAATAAATAACAGGGACTTCTTGCTCGTTGCATTCATTTCAATTTAACCTGAACTTTAGAACACAATGAAATAGTGGATCACTTGACATTCTTTATCCTGTTAAAAATAAATTTAAAAAAAAATTAATCTAAAGTATGCAATACATTTTGTGTTAATAGTGTTTATCATCAGCCCTTTAAATAAAAATATTCCTATAAAAGAAAATATCATTGAAAATCGCAAGATATTTTGATAGTGTTATGTACTAAAATAAATTGAAACAGGTTTTATGTAGATCGTCCAATCCAAAGAATTTTCTGCTGTTGTTGGAAATCCCTTTCTGCTCAAATGCACAGCTAAGTTCTCGTCATTGAAATTTAACACCAAAATACTATTTCCTTTAATATGGAACAGAGATAATCGAAAAATCAAATATGAATTTTTTAACGCAATTTTTTTAACTTCCTTACATCTGTTTATTATCCTTAAGAACGGTTGTTCTCAAATTTCCTATGCGTGCCCCTATATTAAGGTTCCTCGTGTTTTGATGACCCCCAAACATAAAATTATTTCCTTTGCTATTTCATAAATATGTTTTTAACGATGGTCTTAGGCTACAACTGTGTAAGGGTCGTTGAACCCACACAGGTGTCACGAGGCACAGCTTGCGATCCACTGATTTAGATAATGGACCTTTTTTCGCTCGTTGTAAGAATTAATGATAGAGCATTTTGTTTACAGTTGTGGAACTCGGTTAAGCTTCGATCACGAATTTAAATTTGTTTGACGGAGTTTGTTTATCTATGGTTGTTTTTTTTGGTCGTCTGTCATTTCGTATGTAAACACAAGACTTAATGGAAATAAGTGTAGTGAAAATCTTAGACTAAGCGTAAAATAGACCGATTGTAAACACCACAAAGATATAACAATTTTTTTATATGTAGGAATTTTTTACAGATTTTTGTGGCTGTAGGTCGTTGAGATATTTAAAATAAAAGAACTGAGACTACACATTGTGATACGGAAGTAGGAAATTTAAAATGTGTAACTGTTCCAATAATGTTATGAAATTTTTGTTTCGCATGAAATTTTGTTATACATTGAAGTAGATTGGATTTCTGTTTTTAAATCTTTTCTCTACCTTATCTGAAGTCCTCTTGAAAAAACAAAGGATAAGTAGGATTTTCTAATGACATAACAAAAACTTTAGTAACAATGGCTTGATTGCTTCACTAGCTTTGATTGAGTTGAATTCTGTTAGAACAATATCATTCAAAGCTGATGTTAAAACGCTAGATTTTCTAAATTTCTTCATATTGAATACAAACTATTTTTTTCAAATAAACTTTACCGCAAGAAATCAAATCAAAAGAAAAATCGGTTGTTTAAACAATGATATTTGTTTCCGTTGGCAGAGTGAGTAGTTCTATATGAATAACTCTCAGACAACATGGGTAATATCATTTTAATTTGATTAGGTAAACATGACAACAATCTATCAAAATATAAAATAATTCACGTTTTATGAATGTATTGAAACAGTTCATAGCCATTTAAATAAATCCGATGAGTGAGCCTTCCTTCACGTACAGTGTAAATAAATGACAGTAAATGTTGAGTAGCAATAACAGTTTAACTTTCAACAAACCACTAGGGGCGAGTTACTATCTTCTTTGTGGTTTCAGTGATAATTGCAATACTTTTGTGTTTATTATTCAAATGAGATTGAATAGTATTTTATTTTTCTTAAAACGTTCCTAATGCACAAAGTATACTTAATCAGTGGTGTATTCTTTATTATTAATATGTTTAACGAGTAGGCTGGCTTTACATATTGTCAATGCACGTTTATCATTCTAGGAAAATGTTAAGGCTTTTTTTAATAATATTTTTGCAATCTTTAATAAATTGCAAATGTTCGGCTTCCAAAAGAATACAATTCAACAATTTTCCTCTACCTAATTATTCCACATAGAGGTCTACATATATTCTGACAAACCTTACTCGTTGGCTTAATATCTGAAGGAGAATGCTTATACCGCAAAGTAGTTACAAGCTTTATCAATTGGTGCTATGATCATTTTCTCCAGCTGAATGTCTAGAAAAACAAAGGAAATGGTTGTTGATTTCAGAAGGGGGAACACCAGATGATAGATCTCAACATAAAAGAAATCAAAGTGTAGAGAAAGTAGAGGCATATAAGTAGTTAGGCGTCACCATTAATAATAAGTTAACATGGCATGAGCACGCCCAAATGCTGTATTAGAAATCAACCAAAGACTGTTCTACCTAAAAAAAGTGTACAATTTCGACGTCAACCAACATGTCGTTATTTATTCTACAATTCAACAATTGCCTACTTAATTTCAGTATTACCTGCTGGTGTGGGAATTCAACGTCTGATATTAAACACCGCATAAACCGACTAATCAAGAAAGCCGGGACCATAACTCAAACTAAACATCCTTTACTGGAAGAACTATTTGAAGAGGGATGTTATTGTAAAACTAAACACATTTTGGATGAAACATCCCACCGTCTTAATCACAGTTACTTAGGATCGGCCCGTTCGGGACGAATTATTTCCGTCAGGAAGAGGAATAAAATATATTTAAAAAATCTTTTGTTCCTGTAACGCACCTTGTATACATATGTAGATTATGATGACTTTACTTGCAATGATTGACGTGCAGTACTTATCTTCAATCACAGACGTCAATTAATAGTCAATAGTAAAACACGACATATAACTTTTGCATCACTATACATGTATTACTTGAATACAGCTCATCACATGAAATAATATCTTTGACGATCATAGTAAATATAAGTTACACACTTATAACTTCTTTGGTACACTTCACCAATCAATATTAAGATATTGATAAATCACTTGAAGGAACATGGCCAACGCCAAATGTATGAAAAACTTCCTTGACCGTTTATTCAGTATCCATAATTTCCTCACTTCCTGTTATTTCTATTTTACAAAAAAATACATTATTTAAGGAAACAAGTTGATATCTGAGTAATAGATCTGTGACAGTTCCCAAAGCTGTACCAATTTACCAGCGTGCTCCCCTGAAATCACAAATCTTAACCAGAACTAACAAGTCCATACTATGGCTAAGAGAACCAACGGAATGGCTGCTAAAGACAAAAATTATTACCAATGTCTTGTTTTAAATTGTTTCTTTTTATATGTGCTGAAAATGTACAATGCAATCATAAAACATTTCCATTTGTTTGGGATAAATAAAAGTATCTTATCTTATAATTTCATGATTGTGCCATTTTTTTCGTCTGAATACATTAGGCCTCAAAACTGTCATGTGCGCTCTTTTATGGCAGAAAACATTTAAAATTTTGTATGCGTATTTTTTGAACCCAAATGGATGACGTGTAAGATCACGAAGGGAAAGAATAATTATTTTTTGACGAAAAGAATGGAATGTGTTGGTGCATATTATTTCGCTTTTAAATCATGTGTTGCTGTCATGGTTTGGCGAAATAAACATGGATTGGATTACATCACCGTAAATTGAAAATAAATAATTTATTCAGAGTAAATGTATATTTTCTTTTTTTAATCTGCTTGGTCTGTTTTAATAAAGTCCACTTAACTTAATGGAAGCGAGCTCAGAAACAACAAACATGATTTTGGAACCAACCCAAATTGATAAAAGTATGTGGCAATTCCGAGCAAGTTACTTTAATTTATTTTAAAAAAATGAACGTACCCCAAAGAAACAATAGATCGGGGACCGCTCTGCCACACTTGCCCAAAGAACCAATAGATCGGGGACCGCTCTGCCACACTTGCCCAAAGAAACAATAGATCGGGGACCGCTCTGCCACACTTGCCCAAAGAAACAATAGATCGGGGACCGCTCTGCCACACTTGCCCAAAGAAACAATAGATCGGGGACCGCTCTGCCACACTTGATTGACAATCTTGTTTTTACGTTTGTACAGGAGCGACTCAGGTAAGGTTATCGTTTGCTTTTGGTCATTGTTTGTAATCCAGGCATCGTGCTTTGTTTGCGATCTTAAATTAGTGTACGTTACAACACCTCTACAAGTATTATTGTTGATACCATTTTTACTAAGAAAAAAGAACAAGACATTTTTATAACATTGTTTACGACGTCAACAAATGTTTTAGGCTTCCAATTGGTAAAATAAAATTATGTTAACGACCGCTTCGGAGAGCAACAAGACGTCTCTATGAATATGAATGCCCTGTACCAAAAAGACCTCTTTATAAAGCTGAATGCTCTGTACCAACAAGACCTCTGTATAAAGCTGGATGTCTTGTACCAACAAGATGTCTGTGTAAATCTGGATGCCATGTACCAACAAAGACCTCTTTATAAAGCTGGATGCCTTGTACCAATAAGACCTCTTTATAAGGCTGAATGACCTGTACCAACAAAACCTCTTTATAAAGCTGAATGCCCTGTACAAACAAGAACTCTATAGAAAGCTGAATGCCCTGTACAAACATGACCTCTCTATAAAGCTGGATGTCCTGTACCAACAAGATGTCTTTGTAAATCTGGATGCCCTGGACCAAAAAATACCTCTTTGTAAAGCTAGATGCCCTTTACCAAAAAGACAATTCTATATATCTGAATGTCCCGTACCAACAACACCTCTTTAAGAAGTATTATTTTCTGTAGATACTCTTGGAAGAATGTCAAGTAGAGACTCTTGAAATGGGGCTTTTCTAA